GTGCAATACATCTATGTTACTAGGATACAGCATGTTACAAATAATAAGTGATACATCTAGGTTAATCCTATTGAAAACATATACAAAATAGTGACAAAGAGCTACTGGATAAATATTAACAGTCTGTGTAGAAACTTGACATGTCGAATACCAGGGAGTTTGGATTTGGAAGTCGAGTATGTCGAAGGTATGCTTGAATAATTTGTTGTATTTGATATCGAACTGTATTGTATAGTAATCGCTCGTGTGCATCGGTTGATACAAACCCAAAATGAACACGAAGTCCTGGTACGAGCATACATTCCCGTCGCGACTGGTGATCCGGACTCTGTAACGAAGTTATAATGATACACAGGAATGTTAATATTATATTACTATTACTTGGTCAAATGTTTGATATTGCTGTGATGGTCCTGATGGGCGTTGACAATTGATGAAAGTAATAACAAAATATGGATATGGAAAGTTAACTCCGAATGGGTCGTGTAATGTTATTGATTGGGATGAACTCATGATAGGCTCTTCTCGAGTTATGACTGAATAATCTACAATGAATAATCCGATTTTCTCAAGTGTTGAATGTTAATGAGCAAGAGAATAGCGAATGTCACTGGCATGGATTCATCTTGAATTACAATCGTTCTCGATCGAACATGCTAGGAGAAATTACACACAACTCAGCAATTCAATAAATTTTATTTTCTACTTATTTTACAATAAATCACAAGAAAGTTGCTATGTTTATCTAGTTTCACACAACACAATCGAAAGCAAACATAGTAGAAAAGAAAAAGAAAACATTAGAACGTTCTATTGTTAGTACGAAGTTCTATGGTCGTCGACGTGATTGTTCGTTATTGGTCATGTTGAATACGTAATGAATAGGAAACGATCGACGAGTTCGAGATAGATAATCTCGAATGGTTTCTCGCAATTCTGTTTCTAAGAGTGCAGTCAACAATTGTTCACGATCAGTACTATAGGTGACTGTATCATTCCCAATGGTAACACTTCGTTGACGGATTTGATCATTCTAGCAGGCAAAAGAGGAATATGTTGAAGTTGACATTATACTTCCAAATTAAGAAAACAACTGAATGTGAAGATATATTCGAATAATACCTGATAGTAGCGTGCAATTATTCGTAGCACCTCTTGATTATTTGTTAAAATAATCATAAATTCTCGTGATGAATTATTTGATGACGCAGCAATTGTTGATACTGACGAGGACGACGAGGATGACGACAACGATGATGATGATGATGATGATGATGACGATGAGGAGGAGGAATCATCTACATTGACACGAGCACGTTTCGTTGAAGGCATCGATAAAAATGAAGCTTGGTTCGTAAAATGAATATCTAGAAGAAAATACACAAACATATAGTATTCTTTTAAGAAACGGTACAACGTGAGAAATAAACAGTTATTTCAGAAATAACAAAAGGTGAAATAATCAATAAAAAATCCATTTATAATATTGAGGATTTGTGTCATGCATACGATTATAAGTCATAGGCTGACTGCTGTTCAAATCGATGTACATTGGATGTTTTATAAGTTTTTTCCTTTTGTTTAGTTGTTCATTCGAGGACCAATTCGACTCTGATGGACAAGATGATGTGGATAAAGAATAGTCGAACATAGCACGGTATTTCTTAGAACGTAAAGAAAAGATGCGTGTGGCTTCAGAAAATAATATCCACTCCTACTAGTTGTTTTCGTCGTTTTTCGTCATCTTCGTTCGTTTCACTAATGGTTTGTACTTGTACGATTCCAGATTTATTTTGTTCGAGTGATGATGGCGAAGAAGCAGCAGCCATTACGAAAATATACTTTAATTAGTTCTAGAATATACAAATACACACACATCAAGTACTAGCAACATGAGTCTTTGCAAATTGATTTTCTTCTTGTTGTTATTGTTGTTTTTATTTCTATTAGTAGAATCAATCGTTTACAATTCTTGTCTATATGGCTGTATTAAAAAGCTGTATGACGTGACAAAGAGTGTATCTTATTTGAGTTAGAATAAATCCGAAGGTTGGTTAATGAAGATCACTACACTATAATTGATCTCGTTACCATGGTCGATTGCCCATCGCATTGTTGTATCATACGAATATTTACGATCAGGACGAGTCATAAATTCATTGATAATTTCTTTCAATCGTTCGATTAACTCTTCTTCAGCCAAGGCCTCACATGGTGAAATAATGCCATGAGATGTTGTCACACTTATGTCGCTATGCACTTGTGATTGACGACCTCGATTTGTTGTACAAGACGGCTCTTGATTCATACATCGTTGGTCATTACTATCGCCTGAGCATACAGATGAACAGACATGCACACCATGAGTTTCCATTCTTCGATCATTGGTCACTGATCGCCACAGTATAGTCGATGATGTTGAAGGTGATGCTATTATTGAACTCAATTCATTTTGATCAGAGGACGACATACTATTTGCTGAACTGCGATCAGTGAGAGAGACTATAAATAATACTTTTGATTATCTAGAAGCAAACAAGACAAGAAGATTATGGTTCAGTGTTATTGACATAAGAGTGAAGTAGATGAATTTATTTCAGTAGCGATTTAACAACATATGAAATCCAGATCGTCAGTTTTATTACACTTTAAATATGATTGATTTTGGGCTGTGGTCGACGCACCAATTCTTGATACCACTCATTGCCCCGAATTAGCCAAGGATTATCTAATGGATAATAACGATTTCGTTGTTGTTCTTCATTTAGAACGTTGCCGATTGTATTGAGCGATGTTTCAGCATAAGTAATAAATAACGATTCGATTACATTTCGAAACATTGTTGAACAGTTTGCAGGCACTAGAACAACGAAGATTAGTAGTTGTGTAAATGAAATCTTTGCGATAACTTACGGACAGCTACGACTGTAGCATGGTATAGATCGATATTATATTTAGGCTGAATTTGGTCACGTTTGTTATGAAAATATTCAGTTTGTCGAAGGATTTGCCGATCCGAAAAGATGTATCCAGATGGTGGACGAGGCACAGACTCGATGCATAGTCGACATNTTTACAATAAATCACAAGAAAGTTGCTATGTTTATCTAGTTTCACACAACACAATCGAAAGCAAACATAGTAGAAAAGAAAAAGAAAACATTAGAACGTTCTATTGTTAGTACGAAGTTCTATGGTCGTCGACGTGATTGTTCGTTATTGGTCATGTTGAATACGTAATGAATAGGAAACGATCGACGAGTTCGAGATAGATAATCTCGAATGGTTTCTCGTAATTCTGTTTCTTAGAGTGCAGTCAACAATTGTTCACGATCAGTATTATAGGTTACTGTATCATTCCCGATGGTAACACTTCGTTGACGAATTTGATCGTTCTAGAAGGCAAAAGAGCAATATGTTGAAGTTGACATTATATTTCCAAATTAAGAAAACAACTGAATGTGAAGATATATTCAGATAATACCTGATAGTAGCGTGCAATTATTCGTAGCACCTCTTGATTATTTGTTAAAATAATCATAAATTCTCGTGATGGATTATTTACCGTCTACATTGAGACGAGCACGTTTCATTGAAGGCATCGATAAAAATGAAGCTTGGTTCGTAAAATGAATATCTAGAAGAAAATTCACAAACGTATAGTATTCTTTTAATAAACGGTACAACGTGAAAAATAAACAGTTATTTCAGAAATAACAAAAGGTTTAATAATCAATAAAAAATCCTTTTATAATATTGAGCATTTGTATTATGCATACAATTATAAGTCATAGGCTGACTACTGTTCAAATCGATGTACATTGGATGTTTTATAAGTTTTTTCCTTTTATTTAGTTGTTCATTCGAGGACCAATTCGACTCTAATGGACAAGATGATGTAGATAAAGAATAGTCGAACATAGCACGGTATTTCTTAGAAAGTAAGGAAAAGATACATGTGGCTTCAGAAAATAATATCCACTCCTACTAATTGTTTTCGTCGTTTTTCTTCATCTTCGTTCGTTTCACTAATGGTTTGTACTTGTACGATTCCAGATTTATTTTGTCCGAGTGATGGTGGCGAAGAAGTAGCATCCATTACGAAAATATAATAATTTAATCAGTTCTAGAATATACAAATACTAGCAACATGAGTCTTTGCAAATTGATTTCCTTCTTGTTATTGTTTTTTTAAATTTCTGTTAGTAGAATCAATCGTTTACAACTCTTGTCTATATGGTTGTATTAGAAAGCTATGTGACAGGACAAAGAGTGTGTCTTATTTGAGTTAGAATAAATCCGAAGGTTGGTTAATGAAGATCACTACACTATAATTGATCTCGTTACCATGGTCGATTGTCCATCGCATTGTTGCATCATACGAATATTTACGATCAGGACGAGTCATAAATTGGTTGATAATTTCTTTCAATCGTTCGATTAACTCTTCTTCAGCCAAGGCCTCACATGGCGAAATAATGCCATGAGATGTTGTCACACTTATGTCGCTATGCACTTGTGATTGGCGACCCTGATTGGTTGTACAAGACGGTGCTTGAGTCATACATCGTTGGTCACTACTATCGACTGAACATACAGATGAACAGACATGTACACCATGAGTTTCCATTCTTCGATCATTGATCGTTGATTGCCACAGTATAGTCGATGATGTTGAGGGTGATGCTATTGTTGAACTCGATTCATTTTGATCAGAGGACGACATACTATTTGCTGAACTAAGATCAGTGAGAGAGACTATAAAATAATACTTTTGATTATCTAGAAGCAAACAAGACAAGAAGATTATGGTTCAGTGTTATTCACATAAGAGTGAAGTAGATGAATTTATTTCAGTAGTGATTTAACAACATATGAAATCCAGATCGTCAGTTTCATTACACTTTAAATATGACTAATTTTGGGCTGTGGTCGACGCACCAATTCTTGACACCACTCATTGCCCCGAATTAGCCAAGGATTATCTAATGGATAATAACGGTTTCGTTGTTGCTCTTCATTTAGAACGTTGCCGATTGTATTGAGCGATGTTTCAGCATAAGTAATAAATAACGATTCGATTACATTTCGAAACATTGCTGAGCAGTTTGCAGGCACTAGAACAACGAAGATTAGTAGTTGTGTAAATGAAATCTTCGCAATAACTTACGGACAGCTACGACTGTAGCATGGTATAGATCGATATCATATTTAGGCTGAATTTGGTCACGTTTGTTATGAAAATATTCAGTTTGTCGAAGGATTTGCCGATCCGAAAAGATGTATCCAGATGGTGGACGAGGCACAGACTCGATGCATAGTCGACAT